AATTAACTCTTCAAATTGGGCAGAAGCCTGTTAATTACCCAGCGATCAAAATCTGGTGTGTTGGAGCAAGAAAACCTCTAAAACATGCAGGATAGCGGCCCTCGAGGACAGGAGTTTGACACCCCTGCTCTAAAACATGCAGGATAGCGGCCCTCGAGGACTGGAGTTTGACACCCCTGCTCTAAATAATCTAAAGAAACATCAGATTATTCTCTACAGTCTGTGTTGTTGGCTGTTGTAGCAACGCTCTGTTTACATGCAGACATTCCCCTTTGACATCACTTCCTGTTACTTCACATGCAAACATCTCAACAACTGTTCATCTCAACGGTGTGAATTTTTATTTGTAGTATGTTATCAGTGTTATCTTTCCAAAAATGCATTCATATTATTATAAATTTTTTTTGATGTCACGGGTAGTTTAAAGTCTAATTTGATAACAGAAAAAAAAAGAATTAATCCAAACTAATACCATTACAATGGAGCTTTAAAAACAAATGATAAATATTATAATAAATATTATAATCCAGTCTTACCTTTARAGGTCCTTTGATGTTCTCATCGTGGACTTCAGCTGTGGACAGGTCGGATTTAAAGGTCACCTGGGAAAAGAAAAAATTATTAATCCCTTAAAGGAATGCATATCGCCCGCCGCCTTATGTTGCAAAATTCACAACATTCACCGTTATTTATAAAGTCTAAACTCTTACAATTCATGACGTTTGAATAAATGTTTTACAGAGTAATTTACAGGATATGATTTTGTGTATTTTCCACTGTTATATGGGATTATTTGATACTGAGCTTGAACCTGCAGCTGCGCTGACCACAGAGGTACTGCAGCCCCCTGCAGACCCCCCAGCCCTGCAAAGCTTATATTAGGTATACAGTATATTTACTGGTGGTTAACCCCTCGCCTCCTTCTGGTCTCTGCAACCTCCCCTAAACGAGCCACAGTGGATAATAATCTGATCAYGCTGAGCTAATCTTGCCTCTGCACGACAATCTGGCTTTATTGTGTGACAGATGAGAACCACAAGGCAGCAGATTTCGCGGGAAAAGTTTCAAAGCAGCCARAAAAATCAGAGTTTTCCTCCCTGTGAGGTGTCAAAATGTTCATGTTCTTCTCTAACCATCAGCTCTGCTGCAGATAGGAAACTCTGATAAAGGCAAGGAATCATTTTAAAACAAAAACAGCCAAAAAAAAACAAACAAACAAACAAACAAAAAACAAAACAAAACAAAAAAAATCAAAGTTGTGAATGCAGAATCAAGAGCCGTGCTGTACGTTCAGATACTACTGAATTATCAGGTTACAGAGTAAGAGAGAGAAAAAGCTTACTGAGGCAGTATTTCCTCAGTAACTGAGATAATGATATTACACTCAGTGGAATACAGGAAGTTGTTTCTTCTACCGGAGGGAGGCGGTGCATTTTTTTCAGGCAGGAGCAGGGTAACTCTCAGATAACGCCTGAACRTCCAGACGAGCTGGAGCACAAACACAGCCCCACGAAAAGAACAAAACACTGAAAACGAGTCCGAAAACGAGTCCATAAAGACGTCCTCTGGTGACCCCAGAAACTAAAATATCTTAATCTTTAGAATAAATTTCTAAATACCGTATTTATTCATTTATAATATCATCTCAAGTATAATACGGTCATCATTTTTAGAGCTTAAAAAGCATTAAAAATCTAATCATCAATAAGCCGTGTTTAATACTACCAACCTCACTTTATGGATTATTTTTAGGGTTAAATTTCTAGTATTAGACATGAATAAATACAGTAATATTTTGTAATTGACTGAGGTATGTTCTAACACAATGTTAGACATCACTTTTTTAAATACAAGGCTGGCATTCTTGATGACATCACTCCACACCAATAAGAATCAACTTTGTAAAAAGACGCTCTCATAAACAAAATTAGCTTATCGCTGGGCAGACGGTAAAAATGGATCAATTTCAACGCTTTAAATCTGTTTGATATGGAGAACTTTAAAACTAATAACTAAATATTACAAAATTCTTTGTAGTTCCTCATTTTGTTTATTATATTATATTATCCAACATCATCTGGGACACTTTTAATTACGTGCATTATTTTACACCTATAACCATACTGTTTATATTTCATACAGCATTCATTCTGTTCATACCAAATCAGTTTATATGTCCACTGTGTTTATTTTTATATTTTATTTAATTTTATTCTAGTGTGCTTATCTTTTATTCTCTAATTATTTTACTCGAACAGTTGCAGTTGTAACTGTAATCTCCCTGTGGGACCAGTAAAGCTTTCTGGTTCTGATTTTTCCAGCACAGGTCACAGAAAATTCACTATAAATTTAATCTTTTGCATCTAACTCCTGTTAAAGTTTGATGGTGTTTTATTTCCCTGGAAAATAAAATAAATAAATAATAATAAAAAGCTCAAAATAAATCACTAACTGCTCTCAAATGTCTCTGACATCCCTGCTGCTGATGAAGGAGTAAACCAGCTGTTCTCTTACACAAAACTCCTCGTTTCGCCTCCTGCAGCGACACGTAAAGAAAATGTGACGAACGGATTATTACAAACAGTTCCAGACTTTCTTACGGCCGTGAGATTAGACTTGATTAATCATGTGAGTGATTGATAATGACATTATGCTAACTGACAGCTCCTCCGGTGCAAATCAAAACAATGTCACGCTGATCCTTTTTGCTGGGGCTCTACAGTCTTTAGGTATATTTTTAAAGAGAAATGCACCAACAGATGACTCTAAGAGCAGAGAGGATGAAAGAACAGGAGAGGATTCTTTGTAAACAAACCAGAAGCTGAGATAATTACTGTTGTTCAGCTCATGTGATCATATTAAARAACATCACGGTCTGTTTGATCCTGCTGCCTGATGATGATTTCAGCTGCAGATCGTTGCTCTTTTGTCTCTACAGGAGGAAACCACAGCAAAACAAAACAAAGTATCCAATCTTTGTTCCTCCCACACGGTCTATCAGAACCAAAGACGAGCGATCCGTCTCCATCGTATCATCCAGATGCTGCAGACCCCTCTGGGAAATGAGGTACCGTTACAACGCCTTCACCGGTGAGGTATAATACCAGGAGGGAACGGCAGCTGCGCCGTCTACGCCACAAACTGTAGAGGGGACGGATAAAAAGAGGATGCCTGAGGAGGCGACGGGTACCGAGCAGACTCTGAATCCATCACAGCTGGGCTTCTGATCACTCTTTCGGTTATACGAGCAGTAAAACATGAGGTGAACCAGCTGGTGAGAGCAMCACAGCTGGAGTCTGACATTAGAGATGGAGAAACATCGAAAATGTGGGTCGAATTTTGGTTCGACTGTGGAATCTAACCTGAATGCGGTGGTCTTCAATTAAATATCAGTGAGGTTCATATAAATACATTATCTTTTCATGACAACCACTAATCCACTAACAAGAATCTTAGCTTCACTAACACTTAACTTTTAGAAAAATAGAGGAAGCTAATGCTAACCGCTAAGACTGTTAGCAGGATTGACACAAACCTCTTGTTAGTTTGATTCTATTGGCTTAATTTGAAGGTGGGTGGGATCATTTGTGGCAAATCGACCAATCCAAACCAGACTTATAGCTCTGTCTAACTTGTGATACTTCCAGTTTAACTCTTTCAGAATAAAAGCATTTCTTTAATAGAGTTTGTATTTTTATGAATATTGTTTGAAGATAGTGCTTTCTCTATCAGATTTTATATGTAGTCATTTTTGTATGCATTATTTAAATATTGTTAAATGTTATTTTATTCCTTTAGATGCTCAGTTTGAAGTAGCAGCTGAAGATGCTACATGCTAACATGGTGCCTAACACGTCTAGCACTGCTTGTAAGAGTGGACAGTTTTGATTTAATTGTGGATAAACTGCATGAAAATAGAAGTTTTACACTTCTGAATTTTTCAGTGGACATAAAATTAGCAGAAACCAATTTAGTGGAAGCTAATCTGGCCACTAAAGGTTCACAAGTTAGCAAAAAAGCTCATTTGCTAAATGGGAAGCTAGTTCCGCCATTAGCGGATTAGCAGGTTAGCAGAACTGTGCCCACCACTGCAGCCCACCATATTGTCTTTCTAGATCTGTAGGGTTTGTTTCAGCAGGATAGATGAAGGAATTACCATAAATGCTGAAAATGCTGCACCTCCTAAAACAAATTACTTTAAATTGAAGAAAAACTGTGTCGTTAAAAATTCGTTAATAGCTACAAAAGCAGCGCATTTATAAATAAATGTGTTTATTACATATATTTATATATTTTAAAAACTAAGAATTTTTATTCTACTGAAGTTCAACCCTCAACCTGGATCCAGAAAAAACTTTATTTTGTCTCTTAATTCAGACAAACAGTCTGATCTAATCTAACCAAAGCACCTTCTAATCTTCTCGGTTTAATCCCTCAAACAACCTGACATGCAGAGGGGGCGACTTAATAAAATATCTTAAATGTAGACAGTTGTCTCTGAACGTACAAAAATAAAAATGCTGAGCAGCATTATCTCACTGAAACAAGGGCATCCACTGACATCAACGCACACAAAACAGACAAATAATTTACGAGCCTTTTTTAAAAACACCACTTACTTTGGCCTTGACGAGCCTCTTGGCGGTCTTAATCTTGGCTTCGCAGAAAGCCCCTCTGTACTTGGCGCTCACGTCCGTCCCCACCGTCAGGTAGGGGGGCTCCTCCAGAGTCTGAGGGAAGTAAAAACAAATCGTGAGTTTCAGCTACGAACCAGCGACGTGAAAACCCACCGAGCCGGGTGATTCATCTACGGGAAACACACACCATCTGCTCTGGGTTTTGGAAAACAAGCCTCAGAGGAAGCGAACAAAGAGGCGACTTCAGCGAAGCTTTGATTATTACAAGGAGAAACTTTTGGAAAACACGAAGCACCATCTTGTGTCATCTATAAATGAAGGAGATCAAACGCAGGACACGCTTCCTGCAGCTTCTGACGGCAGGGTTTTCCTCCAGGCACACTTAAAGGAAACCACTTTAACATTTATTGGAGTGCAAACGTCGTGCGCTGACCAAGAAAACAAACTGTCTTTACAGACTGAATGAATGAATGAATGAATGAATGAATGAAGAAATAAATGAAGCATAAAGTGGAAGAACAAAACTAACAAGCAATAAGAAGTCATGCAAATATCCTGAAAGTCCCATTAGAGGTGTGTTTTTGTAACGCTGCTGAGAGAATATCATAAAAGAGGTTTCTCTTTATACTCTTTAAAATAAGCAAACCAAATTATTATTTTAAGGACCTGATCATCAACAGCTGTTCCTTTTTTTAAATCAATCTTTGTAGTTATAAAGTACAGCAGAGATTAGGAATAATAAAACCAGGACAGACTGTCTGCTGTTAAACTAATGCTCATCTTTTTCACAACCATCAGTGACGGAGTCATCGGGGACAGTCCGGGTTAACAACTGTGTACCAAACCTTCATAACCCAACAACAGCGGCGTAACAACACTGACAGAAGACATGTTGTCTCCAGAACTCCCCACCTCCCTGCATTCAGCAAAAACTATGAAAGAGAATTCCTCACTCACTGGACAGATTGCCCTTTACTCTACAGCCACCCGCAAACACAACGCTGCCTATTTTTGTCGCTTCTTACACCACAAAATGACAATCCTTTAAAATAAAATTAATTAAAAGGGCAAAAGAATTTRCTTTATGGGAAGTCTAACGTCCTTTAACAACCTCTGGTTTTTAACAGAAGATAAAAAGAGAATCGTTGTTTTAAGCCACCACGGCTCCATCGGGCTGTTTGTGAAGTGTTACGGACGTGGAAATCACTTCAGGCACTCGTTTCATTAAAACATACAAACGCAACTTGGCACGCGGTGACAAAACACACCTGCGGCCGGCGGGGAAGGAATCAAACCTGATCTCCCTGAAAGGGAAAAAAAACAAAACTGCGTCTTGAGTTGAGAACGTAGACAAAACCTCAAAACCCCAAACAGCCCATGGCTTTTTTTTTTAAGAGCTACTAGATTATTTTTTTAAGCTCCCAGTCTGTTAAAGTTCACGTGAGGGGTGTAGTATCGGTAGATTAAACTGGAGATAGTTGTGAGAGTCAGAAACAAAATTCAGCTTTTCATTTAGGATTTTGAGGTGTCTAAGAATTCATGTTGATGTTTTGCTTTTAAAAACAGATTTAACATTTAATGAAAAAGTAAAAAAAACTAAAGAATTAATTTAAATACAGTAAAAAGTTGTAAACAGTAACTTGGACAATTTACTTCCAAAGCACACAGCTTTCCTCAAACGTACGTCTATTGTTTGATCACGTGTCTCAAATCTAAGGAACACAGGCCAAATGTGGCCTGCCATGGCATCTTTTGTGGCCAGCACGAGCTTCAAAGATGTAATGACTTAAAATAAGTAGTTTTAAAGCCAGCATTGACCATAAACTACATGTCCCATATAAACATCAATTATTTTACTCGTAAAATGACATCATCCTGCAGACTTCAAGGTGAAATTCATCATGTAAAATCAAATTTTCACTGCTTTTTTTCTGGCTACTTTTGCTGCAAGCCCAGTTGTACTGGGAAGTKGGAGTTTCCCTCTTTTAAGTCGTAAATTTAAACTGCAGTGCCCCTCCAGTGGGAGTTCTCTCAGAAAGTGTGAGAGTTCATAATTCCAAGATGGCAGCTACTAGGGGTGTAAGAAAATATCGATACACTGAAATATCGCGATATTTCATTTCCCGATACTGTATCGATATTCTAAAGCCCTGTATCGATTTTTTTATTAAGGTTTAAAATGTCAACTTTCCTGCCAGCCRTTCATTTTTATGTTGTAGTTCAGCCTCTGACCACTAGTTGGCAGCAGTGAGCCAACCACTTGGCTCCTCCACAGCTTGAGCGCCAGAGAGTAAGAGAGCATTAGCATTGTAAGTAAACATTAGTTTCATGCTCTGATAGCTGAATCTGAGCGGAAAGACACCCTCTGCCTTCTAAGCTGAGGTAAGGTTACAAACAGTTACTTATTTGTCAGAATGTCTGTATTTTAAGACAAATTAAGTGTTTTGTGCGCTCTTTTTTCCAACTGTCGTCAGCTTTCACGTTACGCATAGCGCATGCATCTATCACCTCGAGCGAGCTCGGCACTCCMCCCGTGACATAAAACTCTGTCTGTTGCTCTCAATGTCCGGCTCATCGCATCAAAGTCCATATACTTTAAATTTATCCTGCTGTGTTCGCTTCAAAAATGGTTTAACTCGTTTAGCTTCTCAATTTCTTAACTGGTTTTCTTCAGGACTTGCCCTGCTGTTCGACCCACAGTTATACAAATCAGGTTCTGGATGCAGGTCAGCTGATCCCAGAAACTCTCTGCAGCAGCTTCATATCATCTGTTTACCGAACTTTATGACAACATAAAAGCTGTTGTTATGTGTTGGGTGACCATATTGTAAATTAATATTAAAAACGAAAAGCTGCAAAAATATATTTTCAAACTATTTATTGGTAAATTTAGTCTAATAATTGAAAACATGGATGAAATATGAAACAAATAAAATACATACAAAGCAGAACACAGCTAAATGTATTAAAAGTATGTCTATGTAATATTAGAATTTTCTGAGACAATGAATTTTGGTTTTTCGTTGTTTTTCTTCCAGTAAGAGGTTTTTATTTAATAGAATTTTTGGACCAAAAATATCGCAATATATCGCCTTGTTTACAGTATTGAAATACATCGGAATATATCGGGATATATCGTATCGTGACCCCTCTGTCATGATATGTATCGTATCGCCAAATTCTTACCAATACACCGCCCTAGCAGCTACTCACCACAACTGAACAGTGAGTAAAACTCTCTTACTTTTACTTTTAATAGTATTTCTGTAGTATTTATTTCACATTTCGTCAGTCATACTCAGAACTTTTCAGTGTTTATAAGAGGACGTGTTAAAACACTGTTTCTATGCAGGAAATACCAGGTAGAGCTCAGTTATTGTTTGTTAGCTGGGCTCAGGAACAAGACATTTTGTGTTTAGTCAAACAAACACAAAACATTGAAGTTATTTACAATCAATGCTCGTGTGATCATTGGTGAAAATTAGACACCCCTGGACAACAAGTACCAACTGGGAAATCCTTTTAAAGATTTGTAGACTAATGACTGATATGTAAGAGAATATGTTACAAATATATTTTCRGTTAGCTGGTATACGCCTACCCTCAGGAGCCTGTTATACAGTAATTATGTAGTCAAAAGACTACAACACCTGAAATAATACAGTGTTTTAAACTAAGCTCCGTCAGCYAACAGGTCGTCATGAAGTCTTTGTATTTTAAGATCTATTTGAACAGGATTGTATTTTTATACTAAACAATCAAATTGACCTTGAACCATTTCCTACCTGCAATTAATCCCATCATTAGTTTAATTCATTTAATAAAATTTAACTTAACTTCACAACTAAAACAGCAAACTATTAGAAGTACAAAAAGCACAAGAAGTACACAAGAAGTACAAAAATCCACTTGTGATGTGAAATCTGTAGAGGTGTCGTATTTTACATGTTGTACAGAGAAACTCATCAATGGCAATGAAAAAATGGTTCTTTTCAAAMCAGTAAGCACAGGATGGTTTACTAAATAGTGCCAGAAATGGTTCAGAGGATCCCAACAGTTTCTGACGTTTATCTTTAAACTCGACCTGCGTGCAGCACCGTTGGTTTTGTGGCACATGTTGGTTTTTCCCCATCTGGAAGAAGAAACTGGCTTCATGAAACCAACACTGAACCTGATGTCACCTCACTAAACCACTAATCCTGCTTCATAGTGAATATCCAAGGTAAAAGTGTATCAAAAATCTAATCTATTACAGCAAATTAATGTTTTTTTCCAATTAAAAGRCTTGTTATGTAATATATGTTGTATATACTAACATCTACACTTTTAAAACTCATTAGATTTTAACCTGTTACATTGTTCCACGATGAACAGGCTTGTAGATGGAACAAAGGAACATGTAAGAAGTATGCAGGAAAGAATTAAGCTCCCTTCCTGCCCAGCTAACACATACAATAATCCTGCTGTGAATCACTTCTTTGTCCAATTCAGGGTGACCACAAGCTGCTGCTTCAACTGGAGTTGCCTTGGCAATACCATGGCAGCTTCAAACCAGAAACACAGAGGGAATAAGAACTTAAACTCCTTTTGTTTTCAGCGCCTATTCTTTAAACATTTAGGTCGGTCAAAAATGCCATGCCCTTCTGCCGGACCACTCATGAAGAGTTTATTTTAAAACTGCTGGAGGGAATGTACGTCACCCGCCGTTCTTCGACAGTGCCCACTCACAAAACACGCCGGCCTCTGCTCAGGAGAGATTAGCGTCACGCTGGTGAACGTTGGATAYCAGAAGCTAATGTTAGCKCCTAGCAGCTAATACTGCTAGCATGACCGCGGCCAATCTGGTTCTTGAGCAGCTCACGGAACAGCTTGGAYCAGAGCTGCATGATACATTGTCTGAGCGTCGTCAAACCATAAGTCGTTGCGCTGAACTGTCAGCTTTTATTTTGACAGGTTGGCTTTGTATCAAAAAACTAAAACTTTTGTTTTGTTGTGAAACTTTAGGAACAATATTAGCAATGTTTTTCTGAGAATTGTCGTTGATAGGGCTGCAACGATTAGTCGACATAATCAACAACGACGATTATAAATTATTCAACACATCCAATGCAAACCACAGAAGAAGCCGCGGATAAATCTAAAAGCGATAATAATGGCAAAACAAAGACGATCATGCCAAAGAAAAAACAAAACCAAGACTTAAACTTGACAAAGTTGGCTATATTTGACCAAAAAAAAAAAAATCAACCACAGAAAGTAAAATGCAAACTCAGTCGTTCCATGACAGGACAGCAACATAAAAACATGATATCATGAGACGCTAACACGCAGTGATTATCCTCTCCAGGTGGGTAAGTTTCAGAATGATGCCTTATAAATCTAATTTACAGTGACTGATCACTTCAGGCTGTAGCCATAAATTTTGTTAGTTTACCATCAGAAAACAGTGTTTGTTGGAAGTGGAGCTATCAGTTATGCTAACATTAGCTAATTAAGTGCTTCATATTAAATCACCGAGTTATAGTAATAATCCACCCTGTCTCATCTTCTCCAGTTTTTTTTTTTTTTTTTTTTTTGATGATGTTGAAGCTTTACTTGAACTTTTGGACTGCCAACAAGATTTCAAACAGGTTGGAATATTTTCTTATTTTATGCACCTGAATGTCACTTTAATTACTGTTGTTATTTAGTTTGTTTTGGACTTACAAAGCTACGTTTGCATCCTGCAGGGCAGGTTAACAGCCCCTCATGCTGGGGAGAGGCTGATATTTTGACTTATTTGTACATTTGTTTGTTTATAAGACTACTTGGAGTTTAATATGCATTATGTAATTTCATTGTTATTACTTGTATTAATGTTAAAATCTGAGTAAGCTATTAAGTTTGAGGTTCAAATTCATATGTTTCACTTTAATTTTAATTAACTATGGGAACTTGTTATGTTATGGTAGAGACACTGGATAATAGGGTGACATTCACAGGTATGACGAACAGGTGAGCTGAGAACAGGAGGTGCCACAGGAAGCATAGATGGACACTGTGACAAAAATAATCATTGACTAATCAACTAATTGAAAAAATAATGACAGATTAGTCGACTATCACAATAATATTTAGTCACAGCTCAAGTCGTCAATTAATTCTCAAGCTGCGAACGTAGAAAAAAACAAGGAAGATGAGCACATCCTCAGAGAACTGGAGGAAAAGAGGTAAAATACAGTTAGCATGAATGCTACTATTAAAGCGAGAGAAACTAAGGTGGACGCAGACGCAACATGTTAGGTGTTAAATTCACGTTTGCAGATGATAGAAACATGTACTCAGGTTCAAGCAAATTAAAAGATAAGATTAACTCAAATACAGACAAAAATACGTGTGACACACAAACAATCATGTTGAAAGTTCGTGGATTTTTTAAATTTGCAATATATATCGCAGGGTTAGAAAAAAAATCTAAATGTCAGTTTTTTTTCCAATAACTTGCAGCCCTAGAAGGATTGCATGTCACCCGGCACATTTTGATGACGGCACACCCTGTTTGGCAGCGCCCACACACAACATGCCAACCAGAAGCTAATGTTAGCCTCTAGCTGCTAATAATGCCAGCGTGACCACAGCCAAGCTGGTTCTTGTCAGCGTGATTAGTAACGTGTGCAATTAATTGTCACAAAAAACTGTCACCAATTAATGTTTGTCAATTACTGCAATTAGTGACTTATTTAAGTTATTGTGGCTCGGAGTTAACGCTAACATTACAACACTTGTTTGATCACCTGAAGCACCACTACACAAGAAACAAGAAAATACAATTATTATACAATTATTGTACAAGAAAGCTAGAAAATGAAAAATGAGAACAAGTTCTTGAGGCATAAAATGACATCATTTTGGTTTYGCAACTGCATCAGAAATAACTAATTTCTTCACTTTTCATAGAGTATAAATCCAGCTTTATGCACAAAGAAAAAATGGCGCATCTTTACTTTACATCATAGATTTGATTATATAAACATTTAAATGATAACTGCATCTTAACCTTAAATATCGATATAGTCTCACATGCCTACAAGTCGCTGCTGAATGTGAAAAATATTGAAGCCTCTTTTCTTTTTAGCAGCCATGAACATTAGGAAACCTAATGGACACAACCTGCTGAGGCACCGCTGCATAAATGTGTATTAACACAGCACCACATGCTGTTAACCATCACTACAGTGGCTACAGCTCGGCTAAACGCAGGAATAACTTCACTGAATGTGTTTCCACCCCCTCTCATGGCAAAACAACGCTCTTATAAACAATATCGATCAGAATCTCGCCGGAAAGTTGCTGCTCAGAGCAACTCACCTGCAGAGTAAAAATCTGCTGCATGAATCATAAAGCTCAGAGGAAAGGATCCTAAACRATCAATGTGACACTTGTTTCCTTAGATTCTTCATGGCGGCTGTTTACACAGCTCATATTTCCATCTAGAAATGTGACAAAATGAGTCAGAAGAAGACAAGCTGCAGCGACACTACCTGACTTAAATAAATAGATGTGTAATGATGTAGAATCGATGATTAAAGGGTTTAAACAGATGATTCAGTGACAGGAGCGAACATGAAAATTTGTCCGACAGTTTGCCCTCARTGACCCGCTCCGACAGCTTGAACTRGACCGGCAGTAAGAACTGAGTAAATCTGTAGAAGCAGAGTTTTAATTCTGGCTTTTTTTGCTGATTTCTTTGGAACATTTGAGGCGAMGCTGTCACATCAGCAACTGGGTGATAGTGTAGTTTAATCAAACACAACTCAGGGCAAAGAGAGCAGCTTTTCTCAGGCCACACAACAGTTTAGTCACAAAGCGTGTCAACACACAACAGTTCTCCCCCTCTCTTGATGCTGTTACGCTGTTTTACATGAGAAATAAAAACATACTGACACTTGTCTAGAACCCTGACTACCGTGACACAGCTGTGTGGGTCTTGGGTACCACACACACACACACACRCGCGYRYGCRTAAGAACTGAKGACAAATTAAGAAGCCGTGGCCTGCAGGCACAACATTAAAACAAAAACTAAATGTCATTTACATCTTTAACGTCACAATTACAGCTTTTACTTTGCACACGCGGTGTGTAATAATACCAAACATATTAAACAAACGTATTATACACAAACTCCTTTGGTTCTTTTAAGCATAAAACAAATTATTTTTATATTTGTCATRCTTTCAAAAAGGACTGCATCACCTGCTGTCGTTTCATGACAGAGTTTTAAATGGAACTAGAGCTGTTTTTATCCAAACTTTTAAAAACAACAAAACCACATGCTCATGTTGTTAATGAACATCTGCTCCTAACGAGTTAAATTTGAGCTAATTATTTTAAAAAATGACTGAGTTTAAGTCAGTTTTTGTGTTTTCTAAAAATAAATTAGCTGCAAATTGGGATATTTTGCTAACAGATAACAGCACGATCTTGCACGTTGAGTAGCGCTCAGACTATGTGTTGAGGATGACTCTCAGCTACTACCATGCCAGATTTTAGTTCAATATCTGAAAAACTGACTCATTTAGTCGTTATCTTCTGCTTTGCAATGTGAGTTGGCAGCCATCTTTAATCGAATCGCCTCCAAAAGTCAACAAGCTGYCCATGCACAACCAACGATTAAGTAGCCAAAGTTTTATTAAAATCCACAGTTGTTTAAGAGATATTTTGCTAACAGATAACAGCACGGTCTTGCACGATGAGTAGCGCTCAGACTATGTGTTGAGGATGACTCTCACCCACTACCACACCAGATTTTAGCTCAATATCTGGAAAACTGACTTATTTATAGTCRGTTTTTATCTTCTGCTTTGCAATGTGAGTTGGCAGCGGCGGCCATCTTTAATTGAATTRCCTCCAACAGTTAATGTCAAAGTTTGAAACAAAGCATCCAGGTATGTGTTGGGGACTTTCAGCTACCATCACACCAAGCTCTAGCGCAATATCTGTAAAACTGACTGAGCTGCAACCATTTTTGTGTTTGTGTGATTCGATTAGCCGTGGCGGCCATCTTGAACCAGGTTGCCACTAAAAGCTCAACAGCTGCAGCTGCGACTCCACTGATAACTTTGCAGGAGTTTTGTTCACCAGATGTGGGGATATTTTGCTAACAGCCTTTCGGCGGGGCTGCAGAACCGGAGAGGATCAAGCGAGCATACCTTCATCTCTCTATGAGTCCTCTGGGCGACCAGTGCAAGGAATCCGAGTCTGAAAGAGGAGGATGGAGAAGCTGTTAGAACTCGATGACCAGAGCAGAACTTCAGTCTAACACAACAATACACTGGTTATGTTATGATGACATCACTTCTTCTTCTGCTGGTGGATGCCCTGAAAAAAGGTGGGCGGTAATAGGAATAAAATAAATAAATAAAAACACCGTCTGTACATGACACGTCTCCCTCTTTTAAAAGGAAAAAAAATCCATGTTTTACATCCTGATTTGTTTGTGCAGACAGATGGGTGTGTGTAGAAACATTGCAAAGTAAATCTCTGCAGGCAGGCTGACGGCTCAGTCTTTAAAAACACGTTTATGTAATGGAAGGTGTTTTTGTTGCCATAAAAAAAGGAGCGAGAAAGAGGCGACTTCGGCTGCCGACGTTCGAGACGAAGCCCCGGGTTTCTGCCGAGCTCCACTGCGCCGACTATACGGCAGAGGATGACGCCATTTCTGTAGCTGACAGCCGGGGTGGAAAGCACATTAAGACCCCCGCTCCAGAAAAATCGTGCGGAGGGACTGGGTGGTCTCGATTCACCTGTCCACGAGTTTTTATTTTTATTTTTTTGTATCTCATTTCGACGGTTCGTTCTTCCTCGGGGGAGGCGGCGAAAAAAATAAAGCGATAAGAACTCTGCCGGGAGAGGACGAAACCCCGGCAGAAATGTCACGTCGAAGCCGTGTCGCAATACAGTTAAGTTAAATAAAGTGAGCCTCGGACGCTTTAATGGTTTTTTTTTTTTTAGTCACTTTCTTCGCTCAGAAAAAAACAACGAAAAACGTCGTTTCGCGCTGACTTCGCGGCGATGAGCGACAAAGAAGTCGACAAAACGGTTCGCAGCAAGGTCAGCCTCGAAGGAGAGGACGTCAAGATCCTTCACAGCACTGTTTACTGTTTATTTATTTTTCTAYTTATTATTGTTTCGCTCCCTCACGTCGACACAAATATCATCCGCCCCAGACGATCATCGAGGCGGGTAGAGAGTCCGACCCCAGCCGACGTTCGCTGCAGACGGGATCGCCCNCTCCACCGTTGTGCTGGATTACTGGTTAACTACAGTCCATTTAAACCTGTTTACTAAACCCCAGCTCGCCAGTAGCGGCGTTTACGACGTGTGAAACACACGGGTCACTAATAATAACAGTTGTTTCCCATCGATGTCACAAAGAAACGTCTGACGATGCGGTTTAGCCGCTGCAAACTACCCCGAGCCCTCCGTCCGCTCGACGGCTCGCATCCTTCAGCGATGTCACGTTTCAGAACCGTTTCGACTAATATCACTTTTTTTCCACGTTTACTGGGGAATGGAAGAGGGGGCAGAAATGAGATCATGACAGCCGCTGTTCGAACGATGAAGCCCCCCCGGAGGATCCCACCGTACTCGGGCGAACACTGACCCGAGAATTCTCCGCACAACCATTTTTTTCTCTCTCTCGTTTTCGCTGCTAAAGCAGAACTTTGCAACCAAGTTCTTTTAACGAGTCTTTTTTATGCTTTCTAATTCATTCATTCCTCTAAGTAAAGACTCCCGTTATTTTTTTTTTTTTAGCTTTACAACACATCGTTAGTTAACAAGTTAGCTGCCGTGTAGGTTGGCTGTTGGAGCATGCTAGTAAAAAAAATGTTCAATATTAGCGATCGCTTCGGCAAACAAAAGCAGACTTACCTATGCTGTCAAGTTGAGAAACACTCCCGTTTTTCGACGAAAGGGTATTAGTAATCCATAGAAACATTTATGTGAAAATGATGAGCGGTTATAAAGTCCGTATTCCCCTCCGGTGGATGTAGGATGCGGGTTAATAAAAGTGGTTTTCGCAGAGAGAGAGCTGCTGTTGTTGAGTGTAGCTCGTCTCTAACCTAGCTCTTTTTCTCCCTGTGATCATCCCCCCCGCCCCTTCGCTTCCCCGAGAATGATTGACGTGTGCAATGATCCCGCCTCTTCCATACATACGCTCTTCCTATTGGTTGACGCTGAACGAGTCGCGTCTGTGTGACACGGGATTGGTTGATCTGAGGGCAAACTATCCAAAGTAAAGTGCAAAGTAATCTTGTCACAATACAGGGAGAGAATGACAGAAAAACTACAGTTCCCAYACGTTTGAGAACACGTGCGTTTGTCTTGCGTTAACTAATAATAATAGAAGCGTTATTACCCGTTTCTTAAATTGAGAGGAGTTTACCGGGCGGTGCAGAATCATAATTTCAACGCACCCTGACACGCGTGCCCTTTTCTCCAACTACGCCGCGCATGCGCTTTAACACAGCTGCAGGTTATAAATGCAACTCATCAGCCACAGAAGCCTGCGCTGTGTGCAAAAGGAGTGGTGTTAGCTTAGCATCATCATCGAGCGAAGTGGATGAAACRCGGACCTGAAATGATTTGAAAGTGTGGATATAGCGGTCATATCCGGTGCCTTACACGACCACAGTGGGCGTGCGTGACTTTATTAAGAGAGAAAAAGGAAGAAAGAAATGCCCGACGATATTACGGATCGTTTGGCTAAGTGAWTAGCATTACGGCTAACCGGAAGTTRGGACCGGCTCACGCGAAGGTGGGTGTGGTTACTGGTGTCACAACTGAAGCAATGTTTTGATAAGTTTAACATTAAATTATGTTTGTATTACACTTTGAGGTTGTGTTTTCAACGTTTTATTTTATACCTAAATTAAAAATTCAATGACTTTAGCTTTTTATAATGTAGATATTGTGTTTGTGACGATGCTGAAGTTAGCTTCCGATTCCAGCTTCCGATTCGGGAAATGACTAAAGGGCGATTACAACTAATTTTTCAATACCTTCAGCATATTTAATCTGCTCTAGTTTAAAAACTAAAATACCTAGACTCTTCAAACCTGGACTAGATTGTTCTTCCCCAATAGCAGAATAATTAAAACTTAGTTTGGGATTTCAAACCAGGACTAGATTATTCTACACTAATAGAAGAATAATAAAAACTGAGTTTGAGCTTTGGGAAACCTTTGTCTGATTTGTGAAACATCAACTAAATTTGTTTTTCATCATTTTATAGGCAACTGGACCACACTAGACCTGGTCTAGCCCAAAAACCACAACATCTAGACTCTTCAAACCAGGACTAGATTATTCTACGCTAATAGTGGAATATGTAAAACTAAGTTTGAGCTTTGGGAAACCTTTGTCTGATTTGTGAAACATCAACAAAATTTGTTTATCATCATTTTTCAGGCAACTGGACCACACTAGACCTGGTCCAGCCCAAAAACCGCAACATCTAGACTCTTCAAACCAGGACTAGATTGTTCTTCACCAATAGCAGAATAATTAAAACTTAGTTTGGGATTTGTGAAAGCTTTTTCTGATTTGTGAAACTTCAGCAAAGATTGCTTTCCATCATTTTTCAGGCAACTGGACCACAYTAGACCCGGTCCAGCCCAAAAACACTAGACTCTTCAAACCAGGACTAAACAGCCTCGAAACAGCCTCAAATGTCTGGTGTTTAACATCTAATCTGACGTTTGTGTTTCTATTTAAGTGTGGTTAACAATTAAGAAGTTAAAAGCTTGTTATTGTTGGTCCCAAAACTTTATAGGAAATTAATTGTTCAAAATCAGGTGTACTCTATAGTCAWTTTTGTATGATTTGTAAAATAAATGATYGCATACTATGGTTCAAATCAACATTCACTGACTTAGAGTTACTTTTTGTGTCCATTCATTTTTGCACTAAAGACGTGTTTATCCAAAATAAAAGAGATCCTTGCTAATTAAATTACTCTTATAACCTTTGTTACAAGAAGTGTAAGAACTGACCCTTACAAYATTATAGCAAAATCATTTTCCACTTATTTTAGTAGTAAATCATTTTTTTAGAGACAAATCAATCAAGTGTGCTTTGTGCTGTCATCAGACCCAGACGGTTTTTATTTCAGTTTTTTTTCTTCAAAGTTTTTTTATTTTTTAACGAAAACACAAACAAAAAAAAACAAACTAACAGAAAAACACGCCCCTAAAAACCCTCCCATCCCTCCCCACCTATACCGGATCTGCTAACAAAACATAGATATAAATACATCTTATATTCATGTATCTGTAAATACAAAACACAGGTTTGTGTACAAAGAACCATTATTTGACCATTAGACAAAGTTATCTGCTGGAGTTTTTTCCATGTAAGATAAAAATGGCTGCCAGATGTCAAAGAATTATTTCAGTTTTTTTTTTTTAATCATAGCCTGAGACTACACAGGAGTAATTACTCATCTTGAAAATTTGACACACTTAAACATTAGTTTTGATTTCTTTTTCTTTTGTYTTCCAGTGAACTTGAAGCAATGGAYAGTGCCTCYGACCGAATTCTGCTTGAACCCTATAAGTACCTGTTACAACTGCCAGGTGAGTTCAGCCAGAGACTGTTTATGACACAACTTTATTGTTGGAGTTACAAACCGGAAACAGTTTTATTTAAAGTCAGCAGTATGTCGGACTGCTCCAGGGTAGAAGTTCTTGGTGTGTTTTTCTTTTTGTCGTCCAGTACGCTGCATTTACAGCTGTACTTGTTTTACTCTTCAGTTTAATGAGGCTGATTTTGAATAAAAATAACGAGTGCTCCATTAACTCTTCTCAGAAGACGAACCTTTACTGTTCTTATCACATTAAGCTTTATATGCTGTATTAACCTTGTTATTAATCAGATTTTGCTGAGAAAACCTCTTCAGAGCAAAGTTTATTTGTTCAGAATGAAGACATGTTACAATTAAATTTAATGAAGGTTGAAATATAAAATAACTCTTTGTAAAATTAGAATAGAATAGAAACAGCCTTTATTGTCCCGCGTGGGGAAATTCAGGTGTAGCAGCAGCAGATACATACATCAATCCACACAAAACAGTATATTGTTGTGTGACAATATCAGTTGTAGCAATATTAATAGAATTAAAC